GCCCAGCCAATAGAACCGTGGTTCTCAACCTCTGGGTCATGACCTTTGGGGATTGAATGACTTTTCACAGGGGTCACATATCAGATATCCTGAATATCATATATTTACATTATGAAGGCAATGGCTCGCATATGGGTATGGGGCTGGAGAGATGGCTCAGAGGTTAAGAGCACTGTCTGCTCCTCCAGAGGTCCTAAGTTCGATTCCCAGCAACTACATGGTCGCTCACAATTCATAATGGTAGCAAAATTAGTTATGGAAGTAGAAATGAAATAATTTTTATGGTTGGGGGTCACCATGACACGAAGAGCTGTATTAAAGGGTTGCAGCATTAGGAACTTTGAGAACCACCACAGTAAAGCTCCAGGCAGAGACCTGGCAAGTTACTGAGAGGGGGCTCAGCCATGGATATGCCTCTACTGAATGACACAGAGAATATTGCCAAGCTGGGTTATTATCTTAATTATAAATGTCATTTATTATTCTCATGTAGAGTGGGTGAGAGAGGTTTAGGTGTATTTGCCACAGTTCTGCATGTTGAGGTCAAAGGACAATTTTATATTCTGGGGACAGATGCAGATTGTCAGGCTTGCAAGGTGACAGCCTTTGCCCTCAGACTAAGGGTCTTTGGTTCTGTGAAAGCGCTTGAAGAAAACAGATTTTAATTCAAAGCACTGACTGTAATGTCTCTTGCATTTTGTGGTAGAATCTGGCTCCAATTTGACGTTAGCTGTTCCTGGTTCCTTGCTGTAGTTTCCATGGAAAAGCTGCAAGCAAGCATGGGGACACCATCGAAAGCAGAGCTGTATTTTCAGTTCTCTGGTGGTGTATGTGAGTGTGAGCCGATAAACAGACTGGGCTCTCTCTGCACGTACATTCCCTTGGATGGGTCTGCTTTCCCTGCTGATATTCTGTGCAGTGAGGAATGTTCGTGAGCAATTCTTCCTTCTGTGCTGCGATCTGGGACCCTCTGCATATGGTTCTCCGTAATTGATGGTTTTTATTTTTTATATTTAGTAACCCATAAACATGGAAGATGCTTTACTAGAGAAAATTTACATCTTGGTGAATATGATCATTGATCACACCTGTGAGTTAATTCTTTGAAATTCAGAACCACATTTGAGGTACAAAGTGAGTTCCAGGTTATCTAGGATTAGAGTAAGACTCTGTCTCCAAAAGTAAAAAATCAGAAATAAGAGGTTCTGCACCTAGGTGCTTTGTATTGCGTGACACCTTATGTACTATGTTGCTGGAATAATAGCTTATCCAGACTAAAATGCAAGTAGACCATATGTATAGACACCATGTTCTCTCTCCAAGAACTCTGTGACTTTTTCTCATTTTGGCATGCCGTGTGGGTGAATGAAACATAAATGGGGTATTTTCTTTCTTTCTTGGTTTAGTTTCGGCTCTCCCCACTTTTACTGTTTCCTTATGGCTAGAGCACTGTCATCTGTCTCCATCAGCATTGTCTTCATATTCCTCCACGGCTACAGCTACTCTCATCTTCCTCTCTACGTAGGATTGAATAGTCTTGGAGTTTATACTGTCCTTGCTATAAATCATTCATCCATCCACCTGCTCATTTGTTCATTCAGTGTTCACTCTAAGAGGCCTGGGCTAGAAAGACAAACACACACGTAGAAACTCTATGTTACAAAATCCAGCCAACTGCAGCTAAAAGACTTTTCCTTTCTTTGGGGCTGTATTCTTCTGCTGCTGCCTTTTTTTTTTTTTTTTTTTTTAATCCCAGAGACAGGATTTGTCTGTATAGCCTTGGCTGTCCTAGACTCACTTTATAGACCAGGCTGGCTTCGAACTCACAGAAATCTGCCTGCCTCTGCTTCCCTGAGTGCTGGAATTACAGGCTATCCTCATTCTTAATAAAAACTGGACGCAGAAAAGCCTCGAAGGTCCATCTATTATGATTCTAAAACCTTATGTTTACTGAATTTAGACTCTACTATATGGTTGCCTAACTCTTCTGAGAAGAATGACATGTGGCTCCTTTGTTACATAACTGTGAACTGGCTTCATTTTAGAACCTTAAAATGGGTTGTAGGGTTCTTGGGGTTAGTACTGTGTATCTGGGCAATTGGTATCTGCCCGGTGAAGCCACAGCCACATCCTGTCAGCCACTGTTGCTTTGGTCCTCAGCCATACACGCCACTCCCCTGATCTTGAGGTGCATGGCGCCCTCTGCTGGCTGACGGCTCAGGATCCACGCTTTCAGTCTCCAGCTCCCCCACACCCCAATACATTCTGCTTTTGCTCCAACATACCATGAGCTGTTTGCTCCTGGTTGGCTTTTCTCCAGGGAAGACTGTTAGATGGCAGAGAATGTAACACCTGTGGTTATTGTTGGGCATAAACACCTTGTCAGAACCTGATATTCTTACAGGCCTGAGTTTAAAAGATAAGGAATAGCTGAAGAAAAACTCAATGAATTAGGAAGTAGTGCAGAAGAGATAACATGAACGCACTGGCAGAGGACACAAGAAAAAACCTGAAGGAAAAAAGCAGGTGACTGGACATTTGGAGCATGAGGAGAGAGACTGGGGAGAGGCGATATTTGAAGACATAATGCGTGAGAACTCATGCAAAGATAGCAGTCCATATTCAAGAACCATGAATGGCAAGCAAAATAAAAAGAAATCTGCATTTAGAAACAACATGACACCGCAGAACACCAAAAACAAGAAAAAAAACTCTTCAAAGAAAAGATAAATCAAGGAAATAGTATTAGCTTCAAGAAGTAATGGTTGGAGTGACATCACAACGGCAAAAACAGAACCCAGGAAGCCGTGGAGTCAGTGTTATCATGTCAGGAAAGAAAATTGCCAACATGGATTCTGTATGAAGTTGAGGAAATCGTCACAAACTCACAAAGACGGGGAGAGCCAGAGGCAAAAGCAGCACTTTTGAAAGTTAAGAAGCAGATAGACAAATAGACACTTGATTTCAGCAGCAGCTAAGACTGCAGGGCCGAAGCTGAGCCAGCCCATTCCACAAAAATTCTTCTGCAGTTGGAGCCATGAGGGTTTGGTAGGGCTGCTTGCAGGGTGGCCAGCAATCAAACCCCTGCAAGCTTCTCTCCTACGCTGCCTTTCCTCAGTGTCCACTCAGATAATTTAGTAGAGGGCCTCTGGATGGAGGCCAAAGCCAGGGACATAGATTTTGCATATGAGCACGAGTTCTTAAAGCCATCTAGGCCCTAGGCCTCCTCTGAGCATGTGTGTAATCCTGAGGGGACTGAGGGTTTTCTAAAATGTTCACCTGAGCATTCTGCAGGAGTTCAAACCCAGTAAGTCCCAGACACATACTCAGAACTCTCAATTAGCTTTTTGTCTCCATCCTCAAGCAAATATTGTTAGCTACTGAAGAACTTTAGAGAAACAAGAGCAACTACAGGGAGGAAAAAAACAAGAACAAAAAACCCACAAAACTTGGAGCACACAGTTACTACAAAGCGAAATAAAAACCAGTCACAGAAAATTGCAATGAACTTAAGATGGCATTGCACTCATGAAACAGGGGCTTACTTGCTGGTTCTACTGGCTTTAGTCCCTATCCTAACTCTTTGAAGTTCTAACAAAGGAGGCTAGAAGCTGGCCAGGTACATTCCCAGACTCCCTTCTGCCTGCTTCTGATTAGGTTCTGCCAATGGGAGATGCTTGTGGGGCCTGGAGAGGAGAAGGAACAAAGCAGACATCTTCCTTTGCTATCTTAGCAGTGCTTTTGGTGGCGGCTTCTGCTGCCAAGCATGGTGCCTGGTGCCCTCCTCAGTGTGAGGAGGGGATTCGGCAAGAGCCGCACAGGGCACAATGGTGGTGAGGACCGTGACTCCTACAGAGCCACAGGGAGGGAGCGGTTGGAACACCAGCAGCTTCCTGATCGTCCCTTTTTCTTCTCCAGCAATACGTTTTACTGAGTGAGTGCCAACTGGCATTTTATCTATAAAAAAGAAACAGTCAAAAAAAAGAAGATTTTGGATATTAAAAATGTGGAAGCAGAAATGAATTCAACGGGAGGGTTAGGAAGGAGCAGTGAGGTGGTCCACTCCTGAGATTCTGGCACACGAAGGCAGACAGAGCACAAGTTCAAGAACAATCTGGTCACATAGCAGGACCCTGTGTCACACAAACAAGCTGACAAATGAGGAGTGGGCGTTATGTTAGCTAACTGTACTCTGGCCACATACCTGACAGAGCACCTTGAGGAGGAGGGCTTACTTGGGTTCTTGGCTCAGAAGATAACCATCACGGCAGGGAAGGCAGAGGGGCAGAAGCAGCTCACCACTGTGGTATGGCTATCAACCAGGAAGCAAGGCCAACCCACAGCCCACAAACTACTCCTTCAGCCATGCCAACTGAAGCATCCACAAACCCCCAACACATGTGCAGTGGTGTTGCAAATCACAGACCAAATCACAGACCAAATCACAGCATCCTAACAGAGGTAGAACAAAACAGCTCAACACCACTGGGCTGGGGGATGGCTCAGTTAGTAAAGAGCTCTCGCCTTCCGCCTTCCGGCCACGAGGACCTGAGTTTAATGCCCAGGAGGCGCACAGAAAACCAGGTCCAGCAGCGGTCGCATCCCCACACTGGGAAGATGGAGACAGGTAGATCCCTGGGGCTCGCCAGCTGGCGCCGGAGGAACCTCAGACAACTGTCTGACTTCCTCATGCACGCACATAAATAAGAAACCTCACGCAGGCTCTTAAAACCTAGAATAAATTGGGGCTGGAGAGATGGCTCAGTGGTTAAGAGCACTGCCTGCTCTTTCAAAGGGCCTGGGTTCAATTCCCAGCAACCACAGGGCAGCTCACAACTGTCTGTAACGCCAATTCCAAGGGACCTGATGCACATAAAATTAAATAATTAAAAAAACTTAGAATAAATAATACCATTACATATAGTTGCCAGGATGTAGTAGACACTGCAGTGCTGAGAACACTCATCCTGCTCAGCACTTGAAAAAAACAACACTAAAACTAGCACAGATGAGCTTTATTTGAATGGCGGCATATGTCCTAATCACCTGGTAAATTTCTGCAAAGGGTAAAGTTCATTGAATGGTGAAACCTGGAACTTTGCTTTGGCCTGAGTTCAGTCAGCTTCATCAGTCTGTGCTCACTGCTATTTTCACCTCAGCATCTCAAGTCCAAAGGTAGCACGCCCCATTTTTCTGGAAACCTCTTACATTGCTTTTATTGACAACAAAAGGGCAAGTTTTTCATCAGCGGCAAATCTGCAGCACTCACTTCTCTTGTTTACATTGCAATTGTTTCAAATGGTGTAAAATGTGCTTAATATTTATTAAACAAGCTTATAACATCTACACTTATAACAGTAACTTGTTTCAATCTTTCTATTAAGTAATTCTTTTTTATTTTCTCCCCAAATAAGCTAAAAATAACTTGTAAAAATACTAAAAACACATTAAAACCCCAGATGATATACATTTTATATGATTTATAGCTAAGACTAAAATGTCCACTTCTACAAGACTTTCTGAATGCCTCTGGTAGGAATTTATAGGTAAGAACCAGAAAGATATATTTCAGGCTGCGGATGTAGCTTAACATTACCGTCTATGCTTGGCATGTACAAAATTTTGGATTCAAGCCCCAGCATTGAAGAGAAGGAAGAAAAGACTTTGTATCCAATTCTGCTTGAGTTCTGAAAAGCTGTGTGTTTGCTGACAGGCCAACGATGAGTTCGGTCTGGAAGGCATGCATTTGTATGGCAGGACTGGCAGCACTTTCTATATGACAGATTCAGGAATTTTACCCATATTTTTCTCCCTCATATTTTAAATAAAAGTACAAATACACATATGGTAAAAGATGCACATAGTACAGAAAGATTAAAATAGCAATATTCCCTCATAACATGGCAGATCTCATGTGTCTGAAACCCTCAAACAGTCACGGTCCTGCAGTTCACAAATCAAAGTTGACCTTTGGTCTCATGTCCATGCAAATATGTGAGTGGTCTCTTCTTCCTGTCACAGGAAAAAGCCACATAGCCGTCTCTTTTAGAAAGAAGGTTTAAAGGGCAATGTGTCCGCGCTGTTCAAAACCAGCAAAAACCAGGCAGCTCCTCAGGCCCCACTGGTCTAGCTTCACCTCTAGAAGGTCCCGGGTATTGTCTCTGAAATTTAGGAATCAAATTTACTAACAAGGCATTTAAAATACAAACAAAACAAAACAAAACCTTTCTTTCAAAATTAGGGGATCTGAAGCTAGGCATAGTGGTGCACACCTTTAATAGTCAGAGGCAGACAGATCTCTGCAAGTTTGAGGCCAGTTCCAGGACTGCCAGAGTTATATAGTGAGACCCTGCCTCAAAATAAAAACAATGACAAAAATTTAAAAAACGAGGGTGGGATCTGGTCCTTGAAGAATGGCAAGACTTACTGTCAGAAATATGGAGCATAACTCACAGCTTCATTTTTAAAAAAAATGTTTTATTTAAACTGGGCATGGAGGTGCACACCTGTAATTCAAGCACTCTAGGAGGCTGAGGCAGGTGGATCTCTGTGAGTTTGAGGCCAGCCTGGTGTGAGGGTGTATAATACTGGAGTTACAGACAACTGTAAACTGCCATGTGGGTGCTGGGAATTGAATCCAGGTCCTCTAGAAGAGGACCTTAACTGCTGAGCCATCTCTCCAGCCCAGCTTCCCTTTTCATAAAAAAGCCTCTCCCTATGTAGAGCTGGCTGGCATCCCACCTGGCACCTGAGTTGACATGCTCATGCCACATATTGGTCTTAAGATTCTTATCCTCCTGCTTGGGCTTCCCAAGACCTGGGGTTACAAGCATGAGCCTCTACACTTTTACTTTAATGTTGTACAAAGAGACAGGATGCACACCTCCCAAGCAGTTGGGAAAGGCCAAATCTTTCCTAGGGACCAGAGGTAAGATGACAAGGGAGTAGGGATGGATGACACCCCACATCAGAGCAATCTTCTCTCCCAGCAACAAGCAGCACCCTCTGAGGAGCAGTTAAGACTTACGGACACAGCACACTGCCAGCTCAGCCAAGCCCTCCCTCGATGCCTCGGATCCTCCTGGTCAGCTGCACGTCCTTGGGGAAAAGAGTGACTCGGCCAGCATGTAAGGACAGGAGGTAGGCGTCTTCAAAGAGGTGAACTAGAAACGCTTCTGCTGCCTGGGGCAGAGAGAGAAGACTAGCATGGATGAAGGGCCTGCATGGTCTTTTCTTGAAGATATCCTGACTCAAAGAACTGAAGGAAAAGGCTGGGGTGAACCCAGTAGCCACCCATCAGACCTCTCCAAACCTTCATGTGTTACACGTTGCTGCTCTCTTCAGGAGGCCAGAAACAGCCTATGGTACTCTACAAGCAGTCCTGTGGAATTCTGGAATATTCTTCCTCCTCTCTGCCTTCATCCAAACCTGCCCTTTCTTACCTCTTGAAGGGCCAACAAGGCCTGGGCTTGCCAACATAAATCCACACCACGACTGAATTTCCCACATATTTCTCTTACCTGTGGAGGAGTGGGATAGGAAACAGAAGAGAAACAAAAGAGTAACCAAAGAGTAGATGGTCCCTCACCAAGTATCTAATATATCCTCACTTCTGCTGTTATCTCTTGGCCTTTGATCTTAGGGCCTGGCTAAGAGTAGCTGCTGACTCCCAGGAGCTTAGGAACCAGCATAGCTTATGTGTGGTGAGGAGAAAAGGCAATCCAAGGTAGGGAGAGAAACCATACAAGAGGTTCTACAACAGTCAGAGGTAGCGAGGAGAAATCAGTATCATAAAAACAGAGGATGTGCAGTGCCCCAAAGGGTTAGAGACAGGCCTTCTGCCATGTCAGTGAGAAGCAGAAGGGCTCTCATGCTTGGGAGACTTACAGAAAAGGTAGCCCAGGATGGAGAGGTAGCTCAGTGGTTAAGCACTGTCTGCTCGTCTAAAGAACTCGGGTTCAGTTCCTAGCACCCATATGGCAGCCCCACAACTGTCTGTAAATCCAGTTTTAAGGGATCTGACACCTTCATACTAATGCACATAAATAATTAAATTAAATAAATTATAAAAAAAAAAAAAAAGAAAGAAAGAAAAAGAAAAAAAAAAGGTGACCCAGGGCAGACTAAAGATCCTAAGAACTCACAACCAGGCTGAAAGGTTTCTTCCTTAACAAGAGGTCTGTGCTCTTCTGCAGGTTCTTCACTTCCTTAAGCCACAGAAATCTCCGCCTCCTTTGTAGACCTGAGTGAAAGAGTTAGGTCATGGAAGCAAAGTCAAGTGGAAACAAGTGGGCACTCCGCAGCACAGCTGAGACAAACCTTCACACCAACAGACTTCAACAGCCACCTGCACTCCACCGAGCAAGCGGGGACTTCTCTGCTGATGTCAGCAATGGCAGATGGGTGCTTAAGAAATGCTTGTTAAATGAATTTGGTTTGCGGTTGGAGCTTTTGGGTTTGTGAGTTAACTTCCACAAAACCTTTTTCAAGCCCTAGTCCCTTCCCAGCGACCCCTCCTGTCCGGCCCCACAGTACTCATGCAGCTCATGTCCTTTCCATTAGACTGAGAATTTTTACTTCAGTTTTTAGGTCCTTTTCTTTCTTAATAGCTGGAAGGAATTAGAGACTATCTAGTATAAATCCCTTGTCTTGATTATCCTGGAGCCCTGGAAGCAAAGATAGTTGGCCAGTCAGCGCTCATTAGAAACCAAGGTGGACCCTTGGAAGTGTCAGGAATGTAGGCTTGCCACAGCCTTCGGTAAAAATTCAAATTCTCACTAGAAAATAAAAATACAAATTATAAAACCATTCTGCTCTGGAGCTGTGGCTCTTTGATAAAGTGCTTGGTTAGCATGCACTGCATGAAGCCACGGGTTCAATCCCCTGCAACACAGACAAAGGAAAAAATGCTTCTCACTCTAGTGTTGAAAAAGAAACTTACCTGATATTAGACTACTTAAAATGAAAAATTTAAAAATTTCCGTCTCAGAACCTGAAAGATATGCCTCAGACAGCACCAGAGGCAAATGGATAGCCTGAACTAGATCTAGTAGAAAACAAGAATGCCAAATGAGTTAAGATCTGGAGATAGCTCAGTGGTCAGAGTGCATACCATTCCCACACAGGATCCAAGTTTGATTCCTGGCACCTGTGTTAGTTCACCGTGCCTATAACCACTTTCCTGTGCCTTTAGGTCCAGCGGGAACTGATGGCTGGTCTTATTGGGCACCTGTACTCATACATATGATTAGAAATGAACTTTGGAGCTGGAGAGAGGGCTTGTTGGTTAGGTTAGGAGGACCAGGGTTTGGTGCCCAGCACCCATACGGTGGCTCGCAACCATCTAACTCCAACTTCAGCAAATCTAACACCCTGCCACCTGCCTCCGATCTCTTTGGTATATATTTTTATACACACACATATGTGTGTGTGTGTTCATGCACATATTATGTAAGTATGCCTAAATATGCAGGAAACACACTCACACACATAAATACTAAACACCACCAAAATCTTTGTGTTCCAGTAGGTGTTCTGCCTGCTCCATGTGTGTGCCTGGCACTTGCAGCCGTCAGAGAGGGAGCAGGTCTTCTGGCTGTAGTTGTTAGCCACTATCTAGGTGTTGAGAATCAAACCCTAGTCCTATGGAAAAGCAGTCAATGCTCTTAACTTAAAAAAAAAAAAAAAAAAAAGATAGCTGAGTTAAATTCAACTCAAGTGTTGGTTCTTAAGATAAACAAGACATATTAAATACAATAAATGAGTGACAATAAAAAAGTAAATGTTATAACAGTACATGTAAACAATAACTGATTAAAATGAAATTAAAATGTTCAGTTGACTAATTGAACAGCTTGGCTAGACAATTAAGAAAACAAGCACACGCGTGGGCAGTGGGTGGAGGAGCACTTGCCTTGCACACATAAGGCCCTGGGTTCTATCCTTAGCACTGTCAAACAGAAGCAGCTAGCTTCAGAAAAGTCATTCAAGGTGCAGCTGGGAAAGAAGATTCTATCCCAGGCAGTGAGGAGCGCAACAAAGGCAATGGAAGAGGAGAAACAAGGCAGGGATGGCCTGGGCCAGGCGGGTGGCGGTGGAGACTCACTCATGGGTGAAGTCAGGATCGTGGACCAAGGACACAGAGCAGTGTTCTGGGGTCTGGGGACATTGAAGATAAAGACAGAGGACCCTGGTCCACCTTGGTTGCTGATGCTGCGATAAACTCTATAGCCAAAAGCAAGCTGGGGAGGAAAGGGTTTATTTGGCTTACATGTTACAGTCCACCATCAGGAAAAGGCCAGAGATCTGGAGGCAGAAACACGGAGGAAAGATGCTTACTGGCCCTCTCTCCTAGCTTTCTTAGCCCAAGCCCACCTGCCCGGGGTGGGAGGGTAGGGGAGGTGGCGGCACCGCCCACAGTGGACTGGGCCCTTCTACATCAATTAGCAATTAAGAAAATGCTTCACAGACACAGGCCAGCCAAGCTGACAGAAGGGATTCCTCAGCTGAAGTTCCCTCTTCCTGGGTGACTAGGTTTGTATCAGGTGACAGCCGAAGCTAATACGACGACCATAACTACAAGATAAGCTATAGAGAGCTGCCTTCTCCCCACCACCAGCCCGATCCAGCTCTGGAGGCTGTCCTTAACAAACAGGCATGCCATTCACAGAAAATAGAGACAACGCAACCAGACACCACCCAAGAACGTGACTAACCCACGAAAGAAAGGAGCCAAATGCAACAAGCCAACTATACCTCAGGGGTTCAAGCAGACAGAACTGGGTGTGGCGCTGCAGGCTTGCAATCCTATCACTTGAGAGGCAGAGGTAGGGGGCTAGCCTGGGCTACACAGCGAGACTTCATTCTCTCTCAAAAGAGAAAGACTTTGAGAAATAAAGAGGAGGATGAGAGCTATAAGATTCATGATGGGGGCTGGAGAGATGGCTCAGAGGTTAAGGGCACTGACTGCTCGTCCAAAGGTACTGAGTTCAATTCCCAGCAACCACATGGTGGCTCACAACCACCTATGAGATCTGGGTGCCCTCTTTTGGCGAGCGGGTGCACATGCAGGCGGAACACTGTATGCATAATAAATAAATAAATAAATATTTTTAAAAAAGATTAATGATGTAAGAACAAGCACTTATGAAACGGAACTTATCAGAAATAACATGGAAAGAACTGGAATCAAACACACAGAAGCTGTGACTCCAAAAGCAAACGTAAGTAGTTGGGAGCCAGTGAAGAATTTCAGGCAGGCCTTATATACTAAAGATCTTCACAGCCAGACCCATAGACTCACCTACAATTCCAACACCTGGAAGGCAGAGATAGGGGTGTGTTGAGCTTGGGGTTAGCCTGGTATATGTATGTGACAGGCACTGTCATACCAGAAATCATTTTCTTTTATTCTGTGTGTATGGGGGTTTTGCCTACAGGTATGTCTGTTTGTACAGCATCTGCAGAGGCTGGAAGGATCCCCTAGAACTGGAGGTACAGAGGGTTGTGAGCTGCTATGTGGGTACTGGGAGTTGAACCTGGGTCCTCTGGAAGAGCAAGCCATGCTCTTCACCTCTGAGACATCTCTCCAGACCCCTCCTCCCCAAATTGTTTTTTATTTAAAAAGTAACATTCCAGTTGCTGTGTAAGACAAAAACTGGGAGTTGGGCAGTGGCTGTTGAGGAGGTTTCTGCTGTGTGTGGCAGGGGAGGGCAGGAGGGGAGAAGGAACAACAGTGGCTTGAACTAAGCTGAGGGGAGACCAAGTGTGCCAAGGCAGAATTGCTGGGACTTGTGGGGTTAAGAGAAGAGAACACCTGCCAGGATTCTGGCTTGGACAGTTGGGCAGTTGTACTATTCGTTAAAATGGAGAAGATGATATGAAGAGGCTAAAATGAGTACTAGTCACAAGGTCAGCTTGGATGTGTAAGTTTGACAACTCTTAAGAGTGTTCACGCAGAAAGGCAGAATACACACACACACACACACACACACACACACACACACACACACATATATATATTTTGAGACAAAGTCTCTGTATAGTCCAGGCTGTCCTTCAGCTTACCTTGTTCTTGCCTTAGCCAAGAGCACTGGGATTTTAGCTCTCACCTTGCTGAAAAAGATATCCTGATCTGAGTTGCCAATGTACTATTATTAGTGCTTACAAGACACAGGCATGGGATCACAGGGGAAGAGGCAGGCGGGCAAAGTGTGCGCTGCCATGTTTTTGGAGGCATGACTGCAATAGTTGCTGACAGTCCTGACAGTCACTCGAGTATACCAGAAGCAGGGGCAGCAACCGTGGAAACTGGGAGCAGGCTGGGCTGAATGCAGTGTGGCCGAGAACTGGGGAAACAGGCACATTCTGTGGAGCCTTACCAAGCATGGCTAAATGAGAGGGCACCGGCCTGCAATCCAGGAGGCGGAAGTAAGTTCTGAGTTCAGGGATGTTCTAGGCTACCTCAAGACTTTCAACAAATAGTAGCTGTGAAGAAAAGGACGGAGAAACGAGGACTACAGGGAACGTGGTGGTGGCTTTAAAGAAACATACGTAATTTCCTTAGGATTGTAAATACTAGCACACATTTGCCTCTGCCAGCGTAAGGCGTTTGGGTTGCGTTCTAAGTTCAGGTAGCAAGGACAACACAAAGTCCCTTTAGACGTAAAAGACAGATACGTCCAAGAGTCAGGTAGAAGAAGGGGGACATCTAGGCAAGGCTGGTGGGTGGGAGGGCTTAAGCGGACAGATGTGGAAGAGAGAGAAAAAAAAAGTCACAAAACAGCTGAAAAGCAAGACTACCAAAGGCAGTAGGATAGCCAATAAGAAGCGAGCCCATCTGAGGTAAAACTTTTCCCTAAGAGTAATGGAAGGCTGCTTCTTCTCAGGAAATCGACAGCAAACATCATCCTTCAGCTCTGGCAGCACAACAAACATGACCACACTGTTCCCTTAGGGCCTCTCTATACCTAAGCAAGTAACAGAACGTAGCGGTGCATCCCTTTAGCCTTTAATCCAAGCACTGGCGAGGCAGAAGCAGGCAGAGCTCTGTGAGCTCGAGGCTAGCCTGGTCTACACAGCAGCTATCAGGCCAGCTAGCCAAGGCTACCCAGTGATCCATACTGAGAGCCTGTCTCAAAATTAGAAAGGCACAGCGGGTTGGGAAGGTGTTGTTCTACAGCAGAGCCCTTGCCTAGCAAGCCTGGAGTCCTGGGTTCCATTTCTGGCGCTGCAAAGAAGATGATGAAAAGTGGGGGTTGGAAAGCCGGCTCGGCAGCTAACAGGGCTTGTAGCTCTGGCTCCCCGGGTTCCGACGCCCTCTCTGGCCGTCGCCAGCACCCTAGCACATGGAGCACATACTCAGACAGACAGCGAGACACACACACACACTCTTCCCGGGCCGGCGGGAGGTCACGGCACCGGCCTCGGAGGTTCAGGGCAGGCCCGCTTACCCACACGGGAGGTCGATCGCGAGGGCCGGGGGTCCGGGCTGGAGGGCCGCCTCCCCGGGGTCCTCGGCTGGCGGCGCGGGCTCGGGCTCGGCCGTGAGGGCGTGCGGACCGGGCTGGAGGGCCGCCTCGCCGGGGTCCTCGTTTTGCGGCGCGGGCCCATGGCTGGCCGCGAGGGTCCGGGCTCCGCCGCCTCCGCTAAGGCTTTCGGGTCTCGGGGCAAGAACCGGACGCGAGGGCGAGCCAACCACCGGCTTCACGGACGCCGGGGCTGCGCCGCCATCAGTTCAAACATCCAGCCGCCCCGCCCACCGCATTTTTAAAATCCCCAACTCCGCGACTCTCAGTGGCTGGCTCTGGAACGCCGGCATGGAGCGACATCCGGATCGACCAATGAGATTAAAGATCTGGCCGCAGAGTCAGCCAATGGGTACTTGGAGAAGCGGATGGAGGCGGGGCTTCCCCTACCCTTTGCTGGCTGGTGTCTGACTGGCGGGACTCGGTTTCAGAGGCGCCCTCTGGGAAAAGGACGGTTCCGTTCCGCTGCGCGTGGTGGGCTCGTCGAATTCATTTCCTCAAATGTTTTATGCTTTCCTATCAACGTCGGGCTGGCTTTAAAAATGCCGAAACGGCATGCCCAAGAGTGTGACAGCTCCGCACGGCACCCGTGACCTTCCCGAGAGCAACCAGCAAATCTGATGCCGAAGGTTAACTGCGTGAACTTTTCAGAAGATAGGGTAGTGGGGACAGCCAGGACGATGGGAGCTGAGGACAAGGTCCAGGCAGGGCAGGCGCCAGTACTATTCTTGGACCATGCTGTCGAGCACGATGACGGAACTGGCCGAGAGAAACCGGCTTTTCCCTTTCTCCTGGGAGTAATAGGAATACAGGTCGTGTCTCCGTAATTAGAATAAAGAGAATTTCAATTTCGTCATTTTGCTTGAGTTTGTTGTTGTTGTTGTTTTTAATGTTCTACCATGAACGTGGAGTCTAATCAGGAAAATACTTACATAATCAGTGGTTTCATAGAAGCCTGGTGCAACGTTGGGGTAGGTGGTGTGAAATGGTCCAGCTGCTACGCAAATGTGTCACGGTTCGAATCTGAAAAGTCCTCTAAAAGCCGGAGGACCGCTTGCTGTCCCCAGGAGCGGCAGGGTCCAGGGGTGGGGACTCTGGGAAATGACTGGGCGTAGGCACTCTGACTTCATCTGTGGGTCCTTTAATCCCAGCACTTGGGAGGTAGAAGCAGGTTTATTACAAGTTCAGGGACAGCCTAACTACATAGATTTCGAGGCTAGTCAGGGCTATGTAGTAAGATTTTTTTTTGGGGGTGGGGGGTGGGGGTGGTGCTCCAACCAACCAACCAACCAACCAACCAACCAACCAACCAACCAACCAACCTTCCAACCAAAGACTGATGACGGCTCAATGGCAATGCATGGACCTCATACACAAGGTTGTGTGTCCAATTCCCAGAATGCTACCCACAGACACAAAATTTAAACACAGAATAATATATGGTCCGGAAGTCCATGTTAGATATCCAAGAGAACTAGAAGCAGGAATTTCAGCAGATACAGATACACTCACGCTCACAGCAGTTTTACTAATAACCAGATAGTGAAAAGTACCTGTCCATCAGCAAATGAATAAAGGAAATGAATATACAATGGTGCATTATTCACCTTAAAAAGGGAAAGAATTTCTGAGATAAGCCACATGGATGAACCTTGAAACCATCATGCTAAGTGACATAAGCTAGTCACAAAAAGATCACTAGTCCGTGGTTCCACTGATACGAGGCAGATTGCAAGAGTGGTAAAATTCATTGAGATAGACATAAAATAGTATGGTGTTTGCTAGGAGCTGGCAGGATGGGTAAGGGAGCTATTGTTTACACACAGTTTCTGACTGGGAAGTGAAAGCAGTTCCAGAGACTGATGCTCATATACCATATATGTTCTTTCTTTCTTTTTTTTTTTTTTTCTTTTTGAGACAGCCTTGGCTGTCCTGGACTTACTTTGCAGTCCAGGCTGGCTTTGAACTCACAGGGATCTGCCTGCCTCTGCCTTCCCAAGTGCTGGGATTAAAGGCGTGCACCATCACACCCAGCTCTATGTATGTTCTTAGTACATCAAAATTTCATACTTAAAATACAAAAGAGAGGAGAGAAAAAAAGGTCCTCACGAAGTCCTTTAAAGTTATAGTCAAATCACAGACAGATGATCCTGCCTCATACCTCCAATTATCCAAGTCAACAAGGACTGGAGAAATCCTCAGCAACTGCTAATTAGACAGAGACAACCTTCAGTTATGAACTCTGCTTTAGACAGCCCTTTATTACAGTAGAAGTGGAATGCTAGATAGAAGACAGAGTCTAGGATTCATAAGAAACTGCTGAAGCTATGTGGCTGTGACACAGCAGTGGTGGGCAGGTTAAGGTACAGAGGAAGTGGTGCTTATTAATGTACACATTTTTGCAGATTTTCGTTTTTTGAACTAGTTGAACTACTGGTGTGTGTGTGTGTGTGTGTGTGTGTGTGTGTTTTAATAAATGAATGAAAACAAAGTGTGCTGAAGAAGTCCTGTGAACACTAGCCGTCTTGTCTCTGAGCTCTACAAGAGCTGAATGGAACAAAAGTAATAAACTGTAGATCACAGAAACCCTCACAACTATTGGGGAAGTTCAGCCCAGGAGACAGAAAGGGAAAGACATGAGTTGGCTGTGCCATTGAATGTGAGACAGACTCCCTCAGCCAAAGCTGACATCACGCAGGAATGAGCAGGTGAGTTGGGATTTGAACCTGGCACCTAGCAGTGGGGTCCACCTTCTGTGGCCACACCATTGTTTCTCATGGTGCTTTCACTTTCTGTACTGAAGAGTGAAATCGGGACAAAGGCACATATCTGAAGTCCTGGCCTCTCTGGAGTCTGAGAGAAGATCATTTAAGTTCAGAGTTCTGGCCTATACTGTGCTTGGCTGATTTGGTATCAACATGGGGACCTGGGAGTTGGGAACCATCAGGTTGCTCATGCTAATTGGAAGAGATACACTCTGGCTTGGGCAACACTGTGAGAAGTTACGGGGTGGGGGTGGGGGGACAAGAGCAGTGTTAGTCTGACTCAAGGGGCAATGTCTTTGAGGCCCCACCACACTCGGCTTGAAGTTTTTTTCTTCTGTATTTAATATATTCCTTGAGAGGTCTGACGGCTTGAAAAATGTCAATGTTATGGGTATGGTGGTCATTACCATCTACTTGGGAGGCTGAGGAAGAAGACTGAATGCTTAAGAACTGCCTGAGCTACAGGGAAAGCCAAAGACTGTTCTGGATAACTTAGAAAGACCATGTCTGAAAATCAGAAGTGATAAGAGGGACAGCGATATGGCTCATTCATAGAGGGATTGCCCAGCAAGCATGAGGCCCCCTGGGTTCAATTTCCAACACACTCACTCACACACAGGCATGTACATAGACATGTACAAACACACCCAACTTTAGGGCCACTTTCATGGTCAGAACCCACAGTCCCACCTTGACTCAGCCCAGGAGCACAGCTTGAATGCAGCCTCTATACAAGCTTTTCTATAAGCTTGGATCCCAGCTTTTGGTTTGCTGGCTCTGAGACTTTGGGGATTCACTTGCCTGCCATACTGATAGTTTTGCTCTTGTACAGTACAGGTAGTGACACTTATTTCGACACTGGGAGAGTTCACTGACTAGGAAGTCGCTTTTCCTTCTTAAAGACTATCTTGGGCTATGGCTCTCCTTTCTGGTAATGGATCTGATTTATCCTGCTCTAGCGCTACTGGTATAAGATGGGGACAGTGTTTTCCTGAGTTTGTCTTGTGGCTTCTACATGCATACACACACATGTATACATTTGCTTACACACATGTACTTGAACATGCACATACATACATTCACACACATTTAAAAAGGAGATGGGGGTGGGCTGGAGAGATGGCTCAGAGGTTAAGAGCACTGACTGATCATCCGAAGGTCCCGAGTTCAATTCCCAGCAACCACATGGTGGCTCACAGCCATCTATCGTGAGCTCTGGTACCTGCTTCTGGTACACCAGCACACATGCAGGCAGAATGCTGTAAAAATAATAAGTAAATTTAAAAAAAGGATTCCATTGGCAGTGCAAAGAGGAAATGCCTAGAGGAGAAGGCAGGGCAGTTACACCGCAGTTCCTTTCAATGCTTAGGGAAAGCAGCAGCAGTGGAGCATTGTTTTTTGCTTGTTTGTTTGTTTGTTTGTTTTGAGGAACCCCAGGGCAATGAATGAACTCTTAACCCCTAGGATCCCCATGTGGCAAACCAACCTCATGAGCCTCTCCAGGCACAGGGAAGCCTTTCTCTCAAGCCCAGCAGTGGGAGAAAGGGGCACAAAAAAACAAACAAAAAACTACAAAATCCTGATTTCTGGGTTATCAGTTTTATCTTGTGGCAAAGAATCTAGTTATGGCATTATATAAACCATAAATAGCAGCAGTACAGAATGCAGCCCAATGCTGCACTCACACTCACTCTTAAGACAGGATTTCAAAAGTCAGTTCCGGACTACATATAGGCCACTCCTCCCAAATCCCAAACGCTTTAGTGTTTTGTTTTTGAGCTGTCACTCAACCATTCCCAGCAGCAATGCTGAGATTAAGGGCTGGAAAGCTATAGTGGCACTGCCCCAGAACTCACTCTTGGGAGGCAGGCTTCATTGACTGGGGGGGGGGGGGGGGGGGGGGGGGGGGGGGGGAAGGGGGTTTTTTTGCGGGGGGTGTGTGGAAATAGGTTATTTATACCTTGGGGAGTGGGTAGAGGCTTCCCCAGTGAGCGTACAGTTGGCTGAGGGGTTAAGATGCTGGAAATGCCTCATTTGCATGAGGATATGACTCTGTAAGAGGGGAAGTTTAACCTGGCTGTGACTACGTGGCCTCCTCTGGTGGGCAAAGGCAGGAGGGGGGCAGGGGACTACATGTGCCAGGACATGAAGACCCAGGGCAGAGGAGGGAGTGCTCCTCACTCCTATCACTCTCAAGATTTCCGAGGTTGGACCCTACTTGACCCCACTCCTGCTCCAGACTGCCTCCTCCTGGTTCCAGTGTAACCCAGGCCCCACATTTTGCCATGCCTAAAAAGGTGTTCAATGTTCAAGCTAGGTAGAGGTGTGTTGGAGGTACGCAGCTGCTTGAGGTTGCAGTTCTGGCCTGGACCGGATAGCCATTAGGAGTTAGGAGCTACTGCTAAAGGCTGGCACTGAAGGCTGAACTCCCTCCTCTCGCCCCTGCTCTCTGCCTGACTTCACCTGGAGAGTGCCTTTAGATTATAGACTCCCCTAGCCGCACTTTACATATGGCCTCTAACACAGCTCCCTGCTTGCTCTCCCCTCCCTGTGCTTATCTATATGTTAGTCAAGCACTGACATTCTACTCTTAGGATTGGAGTGTGCTGTATAATGCAAATCAAGCATCCTTGAAGTGCCTAGTTTCAATACTTGGTGCCCCTAACTACTCCCCTACGGTCATATGTTCTTTGTTCAGCTGTTCCCAAGGCCATTCCAGACCCTCCTGACTTCCTCGGCTGCTTTAAGGCAGCCCCCAGGTGGGAGAACTACAGTGGTGGCACAGCATTCGGGAGGCAGAAGCAGGTGGATCTCTGTGAGTTCGAGGCCAGCCTGGTCT